AACGGAGAGTCTCCAGACTGATCTGCGAGTGAAACCTTGAAAGCTCGCGAGATCAGGATGGTCCCACGAGGCTAGCTCAGACCACATACCGGCGGTGCGCTGTCACTGGGAATCCCACTGAACAGCAGTCGCCTCTTTTCCGCTACTGTTTGCGACAGCTGAAAGGTGTTTTTCACGCACGTAATCCAAACTGCAGGCACCAGGATAATAAAAGCATATTTTACCAGCAGGTTTCTACATTTTAAGTTAATTTAGGCGTTAATAAACTGTTTCAGAGGAGCGATCATAGCGCTCTGCATCAGCAGTGCTGTGTCTGACTCCCTGCCAGCTCCCAGATCAGCTTCTCTGATTGACTGATGCGGCGCATCCAGCAGCTAAAGTTCAATATTCCAACTCCAGCAGCTGCTGCTTATGAACAGTGTTGCGCGCGTCAGATGCTCAGAAGCTCATGAGGCACTCTAGAACTTTTGTGGGAACTTTTGCTGCGCCTTGATGCGCGTCAACCATTGACTTTGCATTTAAACTAGCCGTTTCTGCTGCCACTGCTGCTTGCTGTCTGAACACAGCATAATATCAGCATTTTAGTTCCACTGTTGATCCGAAATGAATATTAATTGCAGAAATAGAACTTGTGCTTAGGGCCCTTGGAGGCCTGGGCCAGCCTGGTCAGTGTGTGATAGCAGCCTTTCTAAAAATGTTTGATGGGACCAAAATCAGGACTTTAATTCCTCGACTGATTCTTTAAGGTTTTGATTCTAAAGTTATGTTCTTTTTTCCAAGTTGCTTTCTTTTTATGAACATCGTTAGCCAACAGTTAGGCCAATGTTGTCAGGCTTATAATGACGCACTAATGAGCTTACACATTCATTTCAGTTTCATGGCAGTAAAGCCTTTATTTTCTAAAGCTGAGGTTATCATCCCTGTGTGTGAGATAACGACTTCCTAACCAAGGGTTGCAATAACACTTATGGCGATAATGATGTTCTCTGACTATTGCATGAGCCACTTTCTGCACAGAGGTCTTTTACTTACGTTCTGCAGTGGTTTTACATTAGATACTGACAGACAATCATCTTTTAAACACCTTAATGCTATATTGGCCAAACATTACTAGGCTGTTTATATTTGCATAAAAACTGTTTGCAGGGGTGTCTGATTACCTCTTAAAAACGCAGAACATATTTTTAAAAATACTGTTTAATGTATGTATGCAGCACAGGCACTGTTGTACAGTAAGAGCACATTAAACAACAGCTGACAGCAGTATTGTGCTATCGGGAGCACGAATGTGAACAAATAATTC